AACCAATTCAATATCTAGTTATTCCGCTTCGATCAGCTATTGTGCACGCCAGAAGAAATTTTTTTTTTTGAAAACTGTTAAAGGTCACTGAAGATCTCGAACGTCATAGAAATATTGCTCAAAGACTCAATTAAATCATATAAATATCAAAATTTAAAATTAATCATTCATTTGTCAGAAGCTCATTCATTTGTCTTTCGCGGAGAACATCAGAAGGTAAGAATTATTTTTATGTATCACAGTTTATTCTCTGTATGGTGGTTATGAGTGAAAGTGGTCAGTAACGAGTTTCAGTTAGTATAATCTGGATGTACAAAAACGGCGGAATTGTCTGTATCCGATTTTAATCACCCCTTAATGTTATGTTATTATTATAGAACAGTTTATTGTACAGCATAGGACCTTGCTACTAAATCACTAGGAAACTTAGAACTATTCATGATCAAGTCTTAAGTCGCCTGATACATATTGAAATGTATTAGACAAATTAAGACGAAATCCGATAGGAAATCGAGCAATTTCAGTATTAAATGGATAAAAACCACGCACCAAAATAACTTTAAGTACATTACAGTCCTTTTTGCATTTTCTAAAAGCTAAAATATAAATAGCTGCCTGAAATTATACCAAAAGCAATTTCCTATGAGAACTCGAGAAGATAAGTTTCAAAGTTCAGAAAAATTGTGCAATCACAAGTAAAATTTCATCATCAGGTTCATTTCACCAGTACTTTCAAGTGTTTCAAATGAACTTCAAAATTTCTTTTCGACACTTGGTGTCGTTAGAAACGATTTTTTTTTGAGAAGATATCTAGACAGTCTCACAAAAGTTTGTAATACAATGTGAATAACCTCAGTAAAAAGTTTTTGCCTACCTGTTACGCGAGCTTGTGGTGAATTCCTTATTAATCTGGTTTCAAACCCTTTTTTCTTTCTTATTCTAATTTTTCGTGTGGTACCGGAATTCTAATTATCCATCAATGAAGTGATCGATATCAGCTCAAGACTACAAGCGGTCCGTTTTGCTTCGAGCAGTCGGTAATATAAATGTTAGGTACGCTTGTCCGAGCCGATTTAATACCAGAGAACAATTTATGCTTAGCAAAAAGCTTCCTTGGTTCATAAATCATTATATCTCTCTCTCTGTGTGTGTGTGTGTTTTTTTTTTTTTTTCATTTAGTGACGCGTATTCATGTTTTGCTCAACTGTAGCGTTTGAACACTACGTAGCCGAACAATTGAAAATCGTAATACGAAGGAAATTATGTACAAAAACAATTAGATTGTTCGCTCTCAATTCCTTTGTAAACACTAGTGTTTTTTGGTCGGGAGCCTATGAGCTGATAGTTGCCCGTGGAAATTTTATGTTCTGGAAAAAAGAAAATATTAGCCCGAGAACAAAGTTAGAGGGCTCATATCAGTCATTCATATAAAGTAGCTCTTGAAGTAATTATTATTATGAGGAAATTTAACTTTAGGGCGTTGACGTAAGTCAATCGCTTTATGCTGGCAAGCGACGGAACGTGTGGTTTATGTTGATCCTTGAATTGAGCCGAGGAGCTTTGGGAATTGGTAGTTGGCTTTTTTGCGATCTGCCATCTTGCTTTGGCAAATAAGTCTGTGACATAGAGAAAATACGTCGGATTTTGACTTTTTTTTAAACGAGATTTCAGGTTAGGAGTGACTGTACTGTCGAGCTTTATCATGTTTCAGACAAATCCGTGCTCAGTTAGAAGCACATCAGGTCTTTTTGTAGATGAACAACGTGCCTGCACGAAAGGTGTCAACATAACAGGAAGTTTTCAACGCCATGTACATGTACAAACAATAGATACCTTCTAGAAAAAGATTTAAAGACTCTCTCGAACGGCATGCATTGCGAGTGTTTGTTTTTGTTTTGATTCTGTCGTTGAAGAAAGCGTCAGAAAAATCGAAAGGATTTGAGGCATTTGTCGCCATGATATGTAATTTACTGGCATGTATATGCAACGATATCTTTGGCTGGTTGCGTCAAAGAACAAAACCGCTGAGATATGCAAATCTTACTTATTGTGATTTACGCGACCAAATTTTAAAATGGCACAAAATGTTTCCATGATAAACTGAAATAAGACACAAATGAATTGCCCCGCGAGTCCTAATTCTAATGACCGACGAATACCTTTTACCTTCAGAGTCCTGTTATCTGATGAGAGCCGACATGTCGAAGATCTTAATCGTCCTACCGATCGCAAATCTTGCATTTGTTCTTGGATCACCGGTAAGGGCTCTTATCGAACAATACCATAAAATGCGTATGGCAAAACCAGCCTCATTTGTTTAACGCTTGTTTAGTTTTGTTTTTGTTTTGTTTTTTTGTTTTTTGTTGTTGTTCTTTTCTTTGGAAAAGGCTTTTCTAAGCGGGCTTATTTCCAGAGTAGGCATTTACATAGTTTTTTTTATTATTATTTGGAAGAATCTTCGTATATGAAAATAAATATGTGTCAAAATCTTTGACATATGACCCACAATGGAAGCAAGTCAACAACGATGTAGCTGTATAATCGAAGGAAAGGGTTGGTTCCTTAAGAACAAAATCCAAATAACTGTAAAGACTAGTCATTGAGGAAGTTTACCAATAATTGATGGAGAGGATCTATTTCTACATCGATATGATATTTGCCTCAAATATTTGGGGCTGGACATTTTTCCTTTTATTTTATTTTTCTGTTTTTTTTTTTTTTCCTTTTTTGTGAGGAAGGAATACTACTTCCAAGGGAATAAAGCATCAAGAGGAGAGTTACAAAATCAATTTTCTAGGGGGGGAGGGGGGGCGCAGAGAAATTGGAATCGAAATTACAGTGACTTTTGAGACAGATATATATGCGTATAGACTCCTAAAAAAACCCCGTAAACTAAAACAATTCGAGAAATTTTGAAGATAACATATTTTGAACATACCCTACGCATCAATAAATGGTTCTTTTTAGATTTTTTAGAATTGATTTTATCTTCAATCATCTTGATAAACCACTTAAAAAATTAGTTAAATATACCTTCATAAATTATACCACCTTTTAATTTCCTTTTTTCCTTTCCCCTCAGTTCAAAACGCCGTCGAAAGGTAAGAATTATCTAAGAGATTGCGGTCATCCTAAATAAATTGAGCATACATGAATGTGGTACCGGCAAAGACCAAATTTCCCCATGGAGGGAGCGGGAGAGTTAGTATCCGCTTCAGTAATATGCCATGCACATTGAATAATTTCTGCGTTTCTCGTGACATAAATTACTTCAGTGGGCAAAATTATCATGTTAAATTTTTCTAATTTGCTCTCATTGCCAATGAACGCGTTCTTAATTTTGTCAGTCATGTAACAAATGTCTTATCTATGAAGGCTCGAGCAATGAAGACTTAACTCTTCCCGTGGTAGAGCGATTTTCAATTAAGTGTCGAAGACCAAAACCAAAGTCAGATCACTCTATCCAATCACGAAGGACACAGACAATATATTGAGCCAATCAAAACTTGAGGTAATTACATGTAGCTGACGCAATGCACGGGAGAACATTTGCGAAAAAGTTACGTTTGGCTTTGGTTTTACTTATGAATGGATGAAAAAGTGGCGCGAGTTTTCATAAGTCAATCATGCAGTATAAAATATTCTTCCTTGAGCAAAAGCTAACTATTGTTATTTACTATGATTTTACTCCTCAGGAATGAAAAATTGCAAGTGTTTAAAGAATCCTGAAAAATGTAGCAACGTTAACCCGCGTCTCTTCACAACCTGCCTAGTGGGAAACTTCTGCTGCCGTTGTAACTGCAATAAAGCTGTAATGGCTGGCGTTCCCTCTCAAGATGGTTGACAAATTTTCGTAATGCGATTCTCGTTCGGTAGTAGCAGTTGTATGGACAGGGACAAGGGTAGGGACAGGGACAGGGGCAGTGACCGTGGCGGTGGCGGTGTTGGTAGCGGTGGCGGTGGCGGTGGCGGTGGCAGTAAGGCATTTTTTTGAAGAATTTACTTTGTTTTATTGTGAATACGTCTACTCATTATCAAGATCAAACTAAGAGCATTTTTTCCCTTAAAATACTTGGTAGTTTTCTTAACCTTGTTGGATACAAATAGTAACATAACTTTACCAACCCGGCAGCTCAGGAAAAACGTAAATGGCGAGGTTTTTGTTTTCTTTTGCTATTGTTCGGTCGGTGTTTTGTTTCCTAAAAATGGTAAGATGGAATATTTTCAACGGATTTCACGAAGTCTTGATTGCCACATTGCTACTTGACAAAGTTATTTATGTCAAGGCGTGTGCTTGCTTGACTACAAGTAGTCCCTCTTTCGCGTAGGATTTCGAGCGGCCATTTTTTTCGCGCAGTTTTCTTTCGCGTCACGCACGACGGACTAAGCGAAAGAGGGAACTACTCGTAACCTAGTGTTTTGCCAAAACACAGGGTCATATCGCAAGGACGCCCTCAAGCGCGAGCTTTGCTTGAAATCTAGTTTAATTGCCGATAGGCGAGATCTAAATAAACCAGTCAACTGTGTTGGATGAATTTCGTCATCTTAGTGGCAGGTTTAATGTAACAAAGTTAAGAGAATCACAACACGGCAGATAAATCTAACGAATAATCAATGGGGTGACAAAAAGTCCACCAAAAGCTACAATATATCGGAGCGAGAAACTAATAATCCACTGGTAGCGACAGGGAGGAGGCGGAAAGGTTGTTTTTTTTTTTGGGCCGCAGCTTTTGTAGCCTTTTAAATATTTTTTCTGGGTTCCACAATTGATAAAGTATTTATACAATATTCAATGGGAGTTTTTAAATATTTCTAACAAGTCTAGTCCGGTTTACAATGAGTGTAACCAAAATTAATGAGTAAACAGCTCCAAAGTTAATTAAATTATCTGGTTATCCATAGCCTGGTAGACTGTTCATAGTCCTTTATTCTCGTATTTTTATTTCATCATTGACAGGGTAAGGGGGTGGGTAGGGTAGGAGGTGGGGACTTCGTTTGTTTCGCTTCGTTCGCCTCCCCGTCCCCGCCCCCTCATGCTTCGCACTTGTTTCGCTCGCTTTCTTTTTCGCGTGCGTTCAAAAATGGAGAGGCTGTGAATGGTCTATAACCAGGCAATAACAGGTAAATTGAGCCAAAAAGGTCTGGAGGATAAAATCCTTGTCAAAGATGCTTGAGCTCTAAATGTTTTTAAAATCCGCGTCCATTAATCTTGTCCAAGACCAGCTCCAGTTTAATTCCTTGAAGTTCCACGTTTTAGCGCAGACGTGTGATGTAGCAAAAAAATAAAGCGTGCAATTAAAAGGTTTACCAATGTTTCAGGTGATCTCCTATAAACAAACCTGATTAAAGAAAAAATCCATTGTCCATTAATCGTGCATGATGAAACGTTGTAAGCTGTCAACCCATAAAGCCTGTCCGATTGATGTCCGATGTTTAGCACGCAAGGTGCAAACCATGAAAGCCTATGAACTTGACTTACATCTTGCCCACAACCAGCACGGCAAGAGGAAAAATACGCCTCGAAAGCACTTAATCAGCAAGAAAAATAAAAGGGGTAACATGGCCTAGAAAGCCACCGTGGGAACTGACGGATGCCGAAGCATGTTTCGCCAGCCCCATAAGATGGCAAAAGCCCCGAAGAGGGAAAATCACTTGAAACTACATGAGTTCTCAAGTTTAAACAGTTAACTAGTTGTACCCTCTGACAAGTACCAACGAGGCGAAATGCCGTATCTTGCTTTGCGTTTTGAAGTTCAGTATACACCTCATTCGAGAATAGCAGCCAGTTTATTATTCTTTTGTTTACATGCATGGCAATTAGCCCTCTTTGCCTCGTCAACATGTACAAAATACAACAGAATTTTGACGTGAAAATGAGGCAAAGAGGGCTAATTGACTTGCAAACAAAATAATAATAAATTGGCCGCCATTTTAGAATAAGGTGTATGTGCTTCCGTTCTTTGATATCACTAGTAATAGTTATCACTAAATCTGCCCCCGTTTTCTTTTATTTCTGCTGATTGAAAACAATAATATTGATCATTATTGTACGAACTAAAAATTTTATTTTTTTTTTTGTAAGCTATATCACTCATACTGTTCCAGTAACTTAGGCCTCTTACCATGAATATGATCCAAACAATCGACTGAGTTAACTAAACCAACACATTCTGTTTAACTCATTCTATCACATGATATTCTTTACATAATACTCTCACGAAGCATTTACAGCAGAGCAGTTTACCATA